CAGGTAATAGGCTTCAGCTAGTCACAAAACAGCATCTGGAATTTTCAAAGAATAAAACATATTATATAACGACAAACAATCAAACCTTAAACATATTGATGTTATGAAAAAAGATGGTCAGAATTTMGAGAAAATGTAACATGCAGCTCAAATATTGAAAGATTAGGGAGCGGAAAGGACACAGCACTCCCTCAGGATCCACCCACACACACAGTATCACTCTAACCATATATGTGTAGATGTTTTTTATGAATTAAAAAGCTTGAAAAACATTTCCAGCCTCGTGAACCAACTGCTGCACTGTAAATTAACATCTCCCTTGATGACAGCTCTGCATGGTCAGGAAAGCTCTTGCCTAAATATCAGATCTTTCTTATTTTATTTTATGTATCTTATCTTACACTACCAGGTTTGATCTGAGCTAAACAGAATGAAAGTCAATCAAAAGAGATCAATATAATATGATAAAGCTCATTAATAATCATCATAATCACACAATCTCAGTGTGTAAGTTGGTTACAGAGCAGGTGTAGTACAGCAGCGGTAAAATCTGTAGTAATGTGGTACAATGAAATCAAAGCAAAAGGGATACTTACAAAGGTGATGGTGAAAGAAGCATACACTGTCTCCACTGTGACTGATGGAGGACTGATGAATTTCTGGCTGTTAAATTGGGAAGACAGCTCATTGGGTGTGGTAGTAAAATTGGGTGTGGATAATTAATGCATTGTTGCAATGATCGAAGCAATTATACAAACTAGTACAAATGTGGACAAAAGATGGTGTGGTTACCTGACGTCAGGTGATGGGGGAACATTTAGTCCAATTTTGCTTTTTTTATTGTAATAGAATTTCTCCTTCTCCAACTGGATATCTATACTGAGGAACCAGAAAAATGAAAACACTTTTACAAAGTAATTTCACAGCATGTTGATCATTTTTTATTTAGTTAATTTTGACACTAAAGTTATAATGGATCATTATGAAAGGAGTGATGATTTAAATGTGAAATGAATGACAAACTGAAACCGGGGACATGGTCAGTCTGTTAGTTTAAATAGATTGAGAATCAACAAATCTCAGGCGGCTAAAGTATCATGAAAAGATCTTACTGACATAATAAACAGAAACATGAGACCGAGGTAAAACAAAGAAATCAAAAACAGTTGAGCTCAGTTCATTTGAGACAAGTCCAAGTCCTTTAAAGATCAAGCTTGAACTCATTGATGACCAATAAAGTGACATAAAGTTTGAACACGTTCCTTTCAAAGCAACGTTTTTACGTCATTGTCTCAAATCCTATTTTTTTTCAAGCTAACTTTGACTCCAGTCCAGAACAATGATAAGTTCTCTCCCCCGGTTGTTAGAGACCTCCTGAAATCAACACATATGTTTGACACGTCACCACAATATGATGCAATGTACGTTAAAGAAAAAACAACTGTTAAACACAGACCCACAATAAATGAACAGAACAAGGCCAGAATAAGTGGAGAAGAGCAACAGCAGCATCATCATCATCTGAGGCATGTTTAATTACACAGTGTAAAACTAATCCAGTAAGAACACACCCACTCTTAATTAAGGTTAACTTGGATAACAAAAGAAACAATAACTTACATATAATTAGTATCATCACAAAAGGCATGTCGTAAAAACGATTCTATAAACACACGGTGACACACACACCTAACTGGGTCAGAAACACCTGCCTATCATAGTGTTGTTATTCCTCCATGTTCACAAATTGTGCAGAAGTGATGATTAACAAACACTGACTGAAATGAAATAAAGCTACTGCAACGCTGTTTATCCCTGAAACTTCAAAAGTGTTTTGTGGACTCAAACACTTCACCCACCCCTCCATCGGCATAGTGCAGATAATGAGTTTTATATTGCACAGTAGTTGTGTGCCTTGTGGAGCAGGCAATGCATTGCTGTCTGAAGAATTTACTCCTCCCGCAATTTTTGACATGCATGCAAAAAAAGAGGACATCAAACTGTACGCCTCTTTCGGGATATTTGTGCTATGACTTTTCTAAGACATTTGTCAAGCGGTACACTCTTTTTGCACTTTATCCAATATCCTGTCTATCCTGTTTAATAAATGTTGACCCTGTTTGGCCCTCGACGTAGTCCCAGTTTCTAATTTTGGCCCTCTCTGATTGAGTTTGACACCACTGCGCTAGGTAGTTACAGGATGTTGCCAGGAAACCTGAAATGAGAGGATTTTCAAAATTAAAGCCCCCAGAAGGTTACAGGACCTCGCCAGGAAGCCTGAATATAGGCTGGATTTTCAAAATAAAACCCCCCAGATGGTTCATGACACACACAAAAAATGCCACAAACACACACCAAGCAGCTGGTATGCACACACACACACAGCCAACTCTCTCTGACTGACTCTCTCTCTCTCTCCCTCTAACCTGCATAGTCTCTCTCCCTCTCTCTCTTAAACCAGCCCGTCTGTCTCAAACTGGAAGAGTCCCTCTGGACCTGGCAGCAAGCACAAGGTATCTTCTAATGCAGAGAGTGGTTCTGGCTCACACTTTCACAAAGGACCAACAGTCCCCTTATGAAACCACATTTTAATTCACTAGATCCAGATTTTTGGTTGGAT